AATTGAGCTAACAAGCCAACTGAGAGCAGGCCGTTAAGTTGATTCGTAATGAACCCGTGAAAGTGATAAATGAGATAGAATAAATATATGAAAATCATATATTTTGAACTGCGGTATTTCATACGTATGATGGACGATCCTCGCAGTAGATAGCGCTATTTGAGCAATAGCGAAATTCAGACCTGAAAAAAATCAGGCCTGTACGGGACTCGAACCACTGACCTCTGCGATACTAGTGCAGCGCTCTACCAATTGAGCTAACAAGCCAACTGGGAGCAGGCCGTTAAGTTGATTCGCAATAAACCCGTGATGATAAATCTGATACGATGAATATATGAAGTTCATATATTTTGAACTTCGGTTATAGATACGTATGATGCACGACCCTCACAGTTGGCTTGTTAGCTCAATTGGTAGAGCGCCGCACTAGTATCGCAGAGATCAGTGGTTCGAATCCCGTACAGGCCTGATTTTTTTCAGGTCTGATTTTCGCTATTGCATAATTAGCGCTCTCTACTGCGAGGATCGTGCATCATAAGTATCTATAACCGCAGTTCAAAATATATGAACTTCATATATTCATCGTATCTAATTAAAAATGTTTACAAAACTCTTGAAGCCACTTCCAAATTTAATTCTTAAATCTACTACACGAAACCAGCAAATTACGCCTCTGGATTAACTTTTCGCCTTATCCCTCTCTTAGATTTTGATACCAGATTCTCCTTGTCGTCTGACATTTCTCGCTCACGTGGAGCAAGTTTTAGTTGTTGTTTTGACAGTTTGCATGGTTCACTGAGCTCTAGCTAATGGCGCTTTCTGATTGGTTAATTTTGAGAGGCGCTGATTGACACATGCAAGACGATATGAATATGAAAATAGGGGGCGTTTCGTTAGTTAGTGGGGGTCTGTAGCAAGCCCTCCCTTTCCCCTCCGCACATTCCGCTCCCCACAATCCCCCTCCTTTCCCCCAGGGCTTGCTTCGCAGGCTATGGTTTAAGAGCCTCTCGGAAAATATCAATCACAAGAAACTGAATATTGTATTTTCTAAATTAGTTCTATAAGAGCTTTAATGTGACAAATTTTGGGAGATTTCGATTACATTTTTCCATTTTGCACGCCTATCCGTGGTATTTTAAGATGTTTTTGTAAAGAAAACTTTTGTTTTTAGTAGTGCAGATCCTAAAGTGATTGTGAGATGTTTCTCGACTTCTGCTGTCTTCTCTAGTGTTGCGGAAAGAACTGGAAACTATTATTTTGAGATCCCGGGAAGATAATATATTCAGAGCAACATAATTTGCTGATTTAAATGGTAAAATACCCTGACTTTGAGGAAAAAAATTTCTTTAAGTTTCATAATAATGTAAGATATTTCTTCAAGGAAAACGTTTGTTTTTAATAGCGCACAACCATGAAATAATTGTGAGATGCTTATCGTCTTCCGCTGTCTTCTGTCTTGTCACGGCACGACCTTCATTAACATAACGCGAAGCTGGAATTTCATAATCACACAGGAGTTGAACGCGAACACTGTCTGTAAAAATCTCGCAGTTCAAAGCCTTTTTTAGGAATAGAATCGAGCCTCACTGTAACAGAAGGAATCAAGCCAATTAAGATCCCTACACTTGTCTTAGGTCTCAAATATGATTCCCGGAAGAAGCGTAAGTAAATTCAGTATTTTTACTTTTCATAGTACGTTGGTTTTACGACTTCGTTTTATATAAGTGGTGGAAGCCAATGAAGGAATATTACTGCTTAGAATAATTTATCTTATAGCGATAAAATTAAAATTTGTGCCTTGTCTTCAGTCTCGCTTGTCACGGGTTTCGTCCAAAAGTTGTTCTAAATCACCATCGATGGGACGTTCCTTCATTTCTGTCGCTGCTTCAAGGTTGATAATGACATGCCTTTTCCTTGGGCCAATTAGTCTTCTTATGTCGCCCAAATCTGTCATCTTGTCGTCGATTTCGGTTAAGAGGACGGTTCAGCTCACGGCTGCTGTTGTTGATTTCGTCGATCGAGCGAATTCGTAATTTTTGTCTTTTTCTTTGTTAAGGTTCTTCTCCGGTTTAAATCGGGCTTTACTCCTCGGAAGATTAACGTCGGAGTTTCGGCAGTGGATGTAGTCGCTCTGCTACCATGTCGCG